TCTATACTGAAAGCTGATTTTTAACATGCAGTGTTTTTAAAATACATCTTTTCCTCCATCTTTTTCACCACATTTGGCAGTCATCTCTAGAAACCTTGGCACACAGGGAGATGAGATACTGAAAGGGTGGGAAAGAGACACTTAGACACCATGTGCTGGTTTTGCAGAAACAGTTTTAAGCAGCCACATGTCAAGAAATCTTTGGAAATCTGAGGATTAGGAATAGCTGCTATTAAAAGCACAAAAGGTACTTTCAAGCTACTGAGGCCTGACCATGGACATCTTCCATGATCTCACCTTCCTGCTCCATGTTTCGAGATTAACATCAGACTTTGCTGAGACTTTAGGCTGCTTGTAAATAAATTTAAGTTGCTGAGATGTAATTAAAACTTTGGTCAATAAGGATAAAGTGGTTAGAAACATTCAGAGCAGGTTAATTCCCATCCCCTCCCATAAGTTTTATCATCTAAATCAATTTTACCTTATGATTCAAGATCTCGTTCATCCTTCTGGTAGCCTCTGTGGTGTGAGACTCTGGGAAGTATTTCTTGGGGACAACACCATACTTCTCTAAAAGAAGTAAAAGTACAGGTTAACAACTGGCTTTTTCACACAACAGATGCTCCTACTGCTCATACCCACATGAAAGATAAAGAGAGTTTAGGTTTGTGCAGAGATTATAACAGGCTCTTATTTAATGGTTACAAGTACCCAAAGTTTACTTTTTAATTTGTGACTGAATCTTGACCTCTGATCTGCATTCCACAGGGATCCCAGAACATGAAATCCCTGAACTACTCAGTATTATTTAACTCAACACTTAAAAGTTCTGAATTAATTAGTGCTTTAGGAAGTCGTGTTCACCAGGAAAAAAAAAAAAAACTTGATTACTTTAAAATTAATCTCCTGAAACACCTTCTAAAGAACTGGGCCTCCTGTGAATCACACCATGTAAATTATCTTAAGGTTAAAACTGACTTCCCAGTCTCCTTTCCTCCTCAACATTTATAAAACACCAGCAGCAGCTCAATGGCTTCCTACATTAGAGTACCACTCACAGATCTCGCTGTGCAAGGCTCTGCAGGTAACAGCAGCAGCCAAAAATCTCTGCCCTGATTAAGTATTTATAGTAATGGGATGAGGAAAAAAGGAACCTCCAGGCTTCAAAGAAACAAATTCCTTTTGTGATTCTAAATTTGTATTATTGCCTTGTTGATTTACAAAGGTGCATATTGTTTCACAACACAAATGAGAGCAAGTGCTGGTGTAATTAAGCTTTGTAAGACCAGCAGTGCCACATTCCACACCAACTCCTTCTCACTGATCTTTATACCAACTTCAGGCTGTAATTCCAAGTAATTTTGCTTTGTAAACACATCTGGCTCCAGCAGTGCCCTAAAGACAGTACATGGCTGTAAATAAATGAGGATGAGTTGATAACTGGAGGAAAAGGGTATTGAACTCTTTTATTAAATCAAAAGCCAGGGCTACCTAATTATTTGTTGATCTTCTGAGCTTTTATCATCAAGGGGACTATGCAGGAGGGATGCCAGACAAGATTTAAACCAAATATTTATAATCTGGCCCCCAAAAAGTCTTTGATAAAAAAAAAATACGGTGGTTAATGGCATCACATGCCATAGCCAATTCCCAGGTCTCAAGATCAATTTTTTTTATTCTGTTCCATCCCCCATTTCTCAAAGCAGGCTGCAGTTTCAGGAAGGGCTCCTTGTGACCAGTTCTCTCACCAATAATGTTGACCAGCATATCCCACTGTCCACCATCATTCGTGGGGTTGGAGAGCAGGAATTGCACCAGCCTTCCTTCCACTGGCTCCTTTTTCTGAGCTGTTTCCACAAAGGCATTTAAAAAGTAGTAACAACGCTCAACCTGAAACACACAGACAAAAAAACCACAACCCTTTCAAGTCTGATATATTATGCATTCATGAATTGCTGAGTATTCAGTTCTTTGCAAGTATAGAACAGATGAAGCAATTTTCTGCTCATCCAATGAAGTTCTCATTTTCCCCTCTAGCATCCCAGGGGCTACCCTATAAAATTCTTTGTTAGACCAAATGTTTAGGAGTGACTTCACACAAGAGCTTGAGAATAAGGGAACAGGAAACAGAAGTCATGCAATAAAGCCTGACCCAAACTAGCACTAGATTTGCTTAATTTCCCTTAGATGGGAGAAGCAGTCACACAGCTTACCCATCAGGTCACAAGCACAACTGAAACCTCAGAGCTACAGTCATGTTTCCCCTGAACCACCAAAAGGTAACTTCTGAAATATACAGAAATCTTGAAAAAAAATTACTTCTACTACTCCAAAACATCAACATCTTGACAACTTTCTTCTCAAGCTAAAAGTCCCACTTTGCTCAACCACCTGCATTTAAAACACATTTTTAAGGAACTTTTGAAGTTTCTTCTCATACACACTAAAACAATGCAGCCTAAAAGAAGTTCTGTCCCAACACTAACACCTGATTGCATAAACCACCCTACAATAACCTACATGACTGTACCTTGTCCCAGAAGAAGAGATAGGACTGGCTGAACTCAAACTCTTCAATGTTGTATTTCTTCATGAAAGGAAGACGCATTGCATTGAGGCAGGAAAAGATCCAGCATCTCCCTGAGAGATCAAAGGAACACAAGTTAAACTGGAGCACCTATGCTCGGGAGCTGCACAATTCCTTTTACCACGAGATTCATGACACAGTTCTGCCTCGAGCCTTTGGCTGGGCTTCTTGCAACACCAAAAAGCTCTGAAGTTGTTCTGAAATCTTTTATTGCCAGCACATCGCTCAGTTACACCATGCAGAAGGGAAAACGCTGCAGGTCTGATGTGTGATGCTAACTCAGGAGGATGCTGCAGGAATTAGACTTTTTCCCGAAGCCAGGACAAAGGAGCAGCGGCCTCTCCCAGGAGCTCGATCAGTGTTAGGAGTCAGCCCCCAAACACCACCCCCGGCCCTGCCCGCGCTTACCGGAGTTCTTCTGGTTGGTGACGGGCTTGCCCTCGGCGGGCACGGCGTGCTGGAACACCTGCACCGTGTCCTGCACCACCTGCCGCTGCAGGCACACCTCCAGCGGGTCGTTGCATGTCGCCACGTTCTGGGCCAGCAGGAACTGCGGCTCGGCCCGCAGCCGCCGAGTGAAGGCGACGGCCTTCTCCGTGCTCAGCCCTGCGGGACAGCGGGGCACGGTCAGCGCCGGGCACGGCCGGTAAAATACACACACACATATACACACACAGCCCCTGCCAGCCACCGCGGAGCTAACGGGGAGGCTCCGTCCCGCCCCGCAATGGGCGCGTTATCCCTGCCCATAGCCCCCGTAAGGTCCCGGTAACGCCTCGCTCCCCCTCAGTAATTCCCCCCTGCCCAACTTATTGCTGAGGTAACCATGAATCTCCCAGCGCCCGCACGGGCCGGTAGCCCCCTCCCTACCCCGGGAATTACCGTCCCCTGACCCACTGCTAAGGTAACGATGAGCACCCTCCCCCCTCCCCGGTAACCGCCCCCCATCGCTGAGGTACCGCCGGACCCCTCCCGGGCGGACCCCCCGGCCCCCCTCACCGCGGGCGTTCATGGCGGCACCGGCAGCACGATCCCCCGGCGGAAGCGGCTCTTATAGCGCCGGTACCGGAAGCCGGAAGAGGGGCCCGGGGCCGCGGCCGGGGGCGAGGGGGGGAGCGGCGGCGGGAGGGCGGACGGCGAGAAGCGAGGGACACGTTTGGTGTGGGGGAGCCGGTGGGACGGCCCCTCACAGAGAGCCTCTCACCATGGCGCCTCACATCGGTCCCTGACAGCGACCCCTCACACGGACCCTTCTCACAGAGACCCCTCTCGGCGGCCCCTCACACTGATCCCCTCACAGGGACCCCTTAAACCGGCCCCTGACAGGGACCCCTCACAGAGATCTCTTAAGCCGGCCCCTCACATGGACCCCTCACAGGGACCCCTCACAGAGACCCCTTAAACCGGCCCCTGACAGGGACCCCTCACAGAGACCCCTTAAACCGGCCCCTCACATGGACCCTTTACATGGACCCCTTATACCAGCCCCTCACACGGACCCCTCTCACAGAATCCCCTCTCAGCAGCCCCTCACAGGGACCCCTTAAACTGGCCCCTCACAGAGACCCCTCACATGAACCCTTCACAGAGACCCCTCACAGGGACCCCTCACAGGGACCCCTCACACCGATCCCCTCACATGAACCCTTCACAGAGACCCCTCACAGGGACCCCTCACAGGGACTCTTCTCACAGGAACCTCTCTCAGCGGCCCTTCACATGGATACCTTAAACCAGCCCCTCACAGGGACCCTTTACATGGACCCCTCACAGGGACCTCTCGCACAGATCCTCACACTGGCCCCTCACACAAACCCCTCTCACCGGCCCCACTTGCCAGCCCTTCACAGGGACCCCTCAAACCCACACAACCCCAGATCCAGAACATTCCCGCCTCACACCCACACAACCCCGGCTCCAGAACATTCCCCCCTCACACCCACACAACCCCGGCTCCAGAACATTCCCCCCTCACACCCACACAACCCCGGCTCCAGAACATTCCACTCTGCCTGCAGCCCTTGCCCCCCACCGCCCCAAGGAGAATCAGTGCCGGGGGCTGTTTCTGGCACAAGCTCCTGTCCGTGCCAGGGGCACAGTCTCTGGTGTCACCCTGGGTGAGTGGCACCCATCCAGAGCACCCCCATCCTGCTGTCCCCAGCTCTGTCTGCATTCCCTGTGCTGCAGATCAACAGGAGGGTTTGGGACAGCTCTCCACAGCTGCTGGTGTTGAGATCAAATGCCCAGGAGCACGAGGTGGCACCACTATGGCACCTTGAGGGACTTCCTTGAGCGCTGGTGGGTCAAGGACACGCTCTGGATCGCACTCCAGATCAGGCTGCAGAATTCTCCTCTTCGGGAACCGCCCGCTCCTCTGAGAAGAGCACTGGTGTCTCAAATTGATTTACAGCACACAGTGTTTATTGATAGTATTAGTAATGGACTATTCCAAGGCATGATGAGGCCTCAAGAGCTTGCCAGGACCTTGAGAAAAGTGCTTGAGTGGCACATTTGTTGGGGGAAGGGATGGATGGAGGTGTTTTCCACCCATCATGGCACTGGAGCAATCACACCGGACCTTCGCTGTGTGTCACTGAGCACTGGGAGCTGCCCCAAGCCCTGGTGAGCCATGGAGACCGGAGGTGCAGCAGCAGTGCCAAGTGCCAGGCAGCTTTTGCCCTGACAGGAGAAGCTGAGATGCCCACAGGATCATTGGGAAGGGGCAGAGAGTTGGGTGGCCACCACCCCAATGCCCTGTGGAAAGGCGCTGCAGGACAGAAAGTAGCTGTCAGCCCAGCATCTCACTTTATTTGTGTGCATCAGCATCACAGTGCAGTAGAGATTCCTCTGGAGACTGATCCACAACCCACATGCCTGACTGCACATGCATTCCTTGTTGGAATAAGCATGGAGGGAAAGGAGACATCATCTCATGCAGCCCAATGGTGCTCCAAGGAAAGGTTCCCAGTGACCAGTTCTAACAGTTCTGACCCTCTAAGCAGCAGCTTAGGATCAACAGATGCAAAGAACCACTTATATTTTGAAAAACATATAAACTTGATCCCAGAAAAACTGTTTCAGTGCTTTATCTCATCATCTCAGAAAATGGCTTTGGTTGACCATTAGAAATTATCTTTTCTGCGTGTTCTTTACCTGCAGCAAAATGAACAGAAGAAACGAAAAATCACCTCCTAGAAGAAAAAAACCACAAGTAAGTTGAATTCATCTGGGCTGTGTTCAGCTCCCAGAAAGCTGTCAGCAGGCTGAGGATAGGACATCAGGGTTCTTTCCCTTCCAGTGGTTACATGCAGGGGTAGCCAGAGCCCTGGGATGGCCAGGGAAGGGCAGGATTTGTTTGTGTCCTGTCATGTTCCCAGGGACCCCTCTCTGCTGGGACAGGAGGTGTGGGCTGATGTTCATCAGCCAGAGCGAGATCTGGGCAGGTTTATCAGCTGAGTGAACTTTTTCAGGTTCTGCTAATTTTAAAGTTGGAATTCATTTGGAATAAGTGTGAATAAGCAAATACTTACAGAGATGTTTCTCTTGATTTCTTGAAGCACTGAAAAGAAAAGAAAAAAAAGCAGTCCTGTTATCGTTCATGTTTCCTGGCTGTGGGGATATTGTTACAAATATTGCAAGTACATAATGCCTTCCACATGAACTATCTAATATTTGATTTATCTACTAGTAATTCTAAAGCAGGAGGTAGCTTGTAGCAGTTTTCTAACAGTGAAAAGCAACATTATGAAATGGAATAGAAAAGGTAGAATAAAAACAGCCAACAATACTATTTTTTTCCTATGAAACTAGAACTTTCCATACCTTAAAAATTTTATCTTTTCGAGCCACAATTCCAAAAAGTACTGTGATTGTAACCACCACAACAGCAGCAATAACAGCCTCCTTGGGAAAAACAGGTTTTTTATCTGTCAGGAAAGAAGAAGTTCGATATGTGAGAAATTCATGCAGTCACATAACGTAGAATATTTCACAGGACTGTGCAAAGATATTTCTTTTCCCACAGCTGTCACTGCTGAGTTAACTGTTGCTCTCCCTGCTGTCTGCATACTGACTCTGTGTGTTAGTCCCCTGGAGAAGAGGGAGCCTGTATTTTAGTGAACTGAAGAAGTATTGAAACATCAGCTCCTGAAGAAGATCCCCCAGGCACTGCTGTGCTCGGAAATAAGGCTGTCCAGAGGTACCACTGACACAGGTAACATTGCTTCCCTCCCTGTGCCAGGAGGACAGAAATGAAAGGGGTCTGGACAGAGGTGATTTAGTGTCACCTGTCTGAGCCCTGAGCACTCAGCCCCCGTTGTCACCTCTGGAGCACAACTTCTCTTGCCTTGAGCAGCTCTTTGGGCATGACAGAATCCTGTGGTCACAGTAAATGCTTCAAGACCTGAGGTGCTTTAAACCACACTTAAATGTGCCTTGTCAGTGTGGAAAGAGCAGCAGTGGGATGAGCCTGCCCCGGGTCACACTTTTGAACAACAGGTAGAGCAGGGCAGGCCCTTCCTGGTGCTGTGGTCCCAGGCACAAGTGCAGAGAGGGCTCCTTGCTGTTGCTGTGCCCTCAGAAATCCATGCAGGGAATTTACCACACTCCATAATATAAATGGATTGTCATAAAAGAGAACAGAGAATTATTTGTAAAGCTTTTTCTTCAGCAGCAGCCTTGTTACCTTCAACTATGAGGTGGAAATCCCTTGTCCCATTTCCCAGGCGTGATTCCACCACGCAGGTGTAGGTCCCGTTGTCAGACTTCTGCACTTTTCTGATGGAGAGCTGAAAGACCTCACTGGTCTGGTACAGCTCGTGGCGACTTTGCTGCAGGGTCAAGCTCTGGTTGTCCTTTAACCAGGTGCTTTGGGCTTGAGGGTTGGATTTGGAGTTGCAGGTCAGAGTAACATCTTTCTCTTCTTCCACATGGAGGGTCTCCTCTCCACTCAGCTGGGGAGGGACTGTGCACAGGAATGCAGTTCAACAGGTCATTAATAATGCTGCTCATAGAATCACAGAACCATTTAGGTTGGAAAAGCCTTCTCAAATTGAGTCCGGCTGTTAACCCAGCACTGCCAGGGCCACCACAAAATCATGTAACCATGTGCCACATCTACACATCTTTTAAATCCCTGCAGGGATGCTGTCTGCACTGCTGCCCTGGGCAGCCTGTGCCAGGACTTGATGACCCTTTCAGTAAAGGAATTTTCCTTTATACCCAATCTAAGCCTCCTCTGGTACAACTTGAGGCTCCTTCCTCTTGTCACTTTTTACCTGGGAGAAGAGACTGACCCCACATTGCTCCAACCTCGTAGAATGCCCACATTTAAGTTCCTTTCACACATCCCTCATGCTCCTTGTTCAGTGGTCTAACACATCACAGTAGTGCAGCATTTCCTGGTCCCTGGGAATGAGGAGGGCAGTCAGTGCAGAGACTATCACTCCAGCATTTCCTCTGCCCTGACTTGTATCCTTGGGAAATAATCTAGGTGGAGGCAGGGACATATCCAGAGTATCTTTCTTAAGGGCCCACCCACTCCTATAAAAGAGGCCTTAGATCAGCATAAGCACCACTGTGGGACGGGCGTGTCTTATCACATGAGTTATCTCCTCCTAAACGCATTTTTTCTGGGTGAAGACAGCGTACAAGGGTGCAAAACACCGCCCAGACAGAGCAGCTCAGCCCATGACTCCCACCCCAGGCATTCCACACAGGAATCCACCACGGCCACTCACACTGCACATCCAGGATCACAGACACCTTCACAGACTTGTCCCGTGCCAGCCTGCACGTGAAGGTGACTCCGTTGTCAGACTGGTTGACGGGGGATATGCAGATGTTGCTGATGTTCACTTTATTGCCCTCTTTCAGAGCCACTTGCCCATCTCCGCGGTACCAGAGCAGCTCCTCGGCCTGGCTGCTGTTGTGTACGAGGCACGAGAGGGAGATGGCAGGGCTGAGCCCTGTAGACAGGGTGAAGTCAGCAGCGTGGTTATTTACAGACAGTTCCAAACCTGCAGAAGAAGGAGGACAAGAACATTTAAGCATCCTAAGGCATATTCTTCCCACAAAAATCTGCCCTGCTCACTTCTCCAGGCCTCCACCTCGGAGGAGGGATGAGACTTTCAGGTTTCAATCTAACAGCTGTTTTCAGGTAGAATGTTAGTTTTTGAGACAAGAACCTGTCTTCATCTCAAAGCTCCCTCCACAGTTATTTAAAATAAAAATCAGGCTTTTGCAGCTGACTGCCAGAACACCAAAGCCTGGCCTATGACACCAAAATGAAGCCAGGACTGACCATCTGACACCCAACAAAAGGTCATTCCCATCCCATCACCTCCCCTCCTGCTGCCAATCACTGCTGCAGCACCACTGTGTTCACTGTTTGATACTCTGATTTTCAGTTGGAGCAGGATGCCCTTGGGAGTATAAATGAGTTAATCAGCCCCTCAGCTGTATCCTGGCTGTCACAGAGCTGCAGTTTGTCAAAGGTACAAACCTCAGGACATACTAAATGACCAGCCAGTATGGGAAATAAATTATTGTAATGGGATTAAACTCGCTACTGCAGCCTGGGCCATAGACTAATGAATGAAAAATATAGCTCAGATTATAAAGGTCTTAAGGTCCTCTGAATATAAAGAAGTCTGAAGGTCCCTGTCCGAAGGTGTTCCCAGGTGGCCAAACCTATCACATTTCTCACTGCTTAGAGCAGGTTTGGAAACTGTGGCCTCATCATCCCTGCTGCAATAATGCTGGAAAACACTGATGTCTCTCCATTCCCTTCTCTGCTACTCTCAAATCAGAGGTCAGCTTTCAGACAGTCCTGTGAGGATGACCTCCAGAACACTCAAAATGCTGCTGTGGCACTTCACACAGCCCTGGGCAGTTTCAATAATTGGTGTGATGGGGCTTGGACAAAGCCAGGATGGATTTTTCCATTGCTTACCTGTGGCCACACATGCCAAGAAGGAAACAGCAAGGACGGGCGCTCCGTAGGGGACAGCGAGGCTGCGTCTCTGCGCCATCTCGGAGCAGAGCTGGCTCTGTTGGAGAGAGGGTCACAGCACTGCTGCCTCTGCTCAGGGCTCAAAGGGGTTAATCCAGACACCCTGGGGAGAGCCCCCACAGCGGGCACAGGGTCACCAGGAAATAAACTGAGTCCATTGTTGCAGGGCATTTTCCAGTTCAGAGCAGATTCAAGGGGGTTTTATGTCTCTAATCTCCATTACATGAGTTTGTTGTCCCTGATCACCTGTCAGTTTGGGGAACCCTCTTTGGATCAGGTAGCATTGGACTTACCTTGGGAAGAGTCCCTGGAGAGGCTGCTTCTGCTGGGAAATGCACAGTTCTTTCCCCTCCTTATTTATAGGGTCTGAATTTTAATATTTTATGATCTTTCAGTAAGAAGTGAGCCTATAAAATGGGTTCAAGGCCTCGTTTAATTCCTGGATTTCTGAGCTCCCACAAGACTGAAGTATTTGCTGGGCTCTGCTGGCTGTTTTATGAGACTTTCTGAGGCAATGAGTAACTAATGAGAGAGTTCCTGCATCAGCCATAAAGACTTTCAGCCAAAAATAATACCTTTTTTCCCCCAGCTTTCTGTGTGTTCACAGCACTATTTCAAGCCACAGGGATTCTATCCTAGATTATCCTAGAGCAGGAGTAGACTCCCATTTGTCCCTTTCTGCCCAAAGCTCCACTGTCATGTCCTCCTTTGAGTGGAAAATGAGTAAAGTCACTGATTCAGACTTTGAACTGCATGTTGGCAGAGGAGAGAGCAGACATTGTCCTGCTCACCAATGTGTACCCCCAGGTTGCTCCTGTGCTTAGCTCAGCCCTGGGCACCTCCCAGCACAGAGCAAGGGGGTCTGTCCCACCCGTTCCCTCTGCTGGGACAGCTGTGCCCAGGCTGTGTGTCCATAGCTTGGCTATGTGGAAATCTGTCTGAGATTGCTGTTTGCACCTCAGCAGGGCGATGGTGACATGGTCACAAAGCACGGGGTCCTCGCAGCCTTCAAACGTGTTGTCACTGCTGCCAGTGGCCCTGCAGGCTCATCACTCATCAGGAACGGGCTCAGCAGAGCCATAAAGTGCATTTCAGGAGCAGGAGGAGCCTGGGATGTGTCCTTGGTGTTTTCTTGGCCTGTGGACGCCGTGTCCCAGCTCAGTGACACAGAGGTGGGCAGGGAGGGCTCCTGCTCTGGGGCTGCTGCCTGCACACACAGCACAGGAGCACAGAGCACTGTTTATTTGTGGGGCTGTTGCAAACAAGGGTCACCTTTGAGTGTTTCTTAATAGAATTCTTTCTGTGCTTATTGGTTTACCCTTAAAACCAACAGGGAATCATTCTTGGTTTAATAAGCATATGTGCACAAAACTCCCTTGAAGAGAGAGTTCTCAGTCTCCCTTCTAGAAAACTGTCCTGTCCTTGTAGAATTCAATTAAATGCTGGCTTACGATTCAGTTCAAATTTTAATCCAAATGCTCTTCCTAGGAGTAAAGTGATTCCTGTGGTTTGGAATTAAGCTGAGTTGAAATAGAAAAGGATTCAAAGGAATGGACTGGGAAATGGCTCCTATTCTCCCACCACAACGTGAGCCAAGGGCAGGAAAGTGAAGCCTGTGCTCCCTCTGGTCACTGCACTGCACTGATTGACACTCTGGAGAAGAAGGAGGTGGCTTGGACTAAGTAGGATGTATAGAAGGAAAGGGTGGGTTTGGGGAGTTTTAATGTAGAAATGACAGCAGGGGAAAAGATTGCCAGACAACAGCTGTTCTGGGGGGGCTTTGTTATGATTTGAGGCCCAGCACGAGCAGCTGGGACCTGGGTCAGATTCTGTCCCAGCAGGTCCGTGACAGGCAGTGAGGTGAGCTGAGGTTCATCTGCAGCAATGGCAGCGTCCTCTTTTGCAATGGGCTCAGGATCTGCTGAAGGAAGAGGGACTGGAAAATCAAGATGTTACCTGGCCAGAGGCACTGAAAGGCAGCTGTTTAGACCAGGTAAGAATTACTTTCGCAATGGCTTTTTACACTTTTCTTTTCATACAGGGTGTAATTAATCTTGTGGGTGTCTAATTACTGAGGTCTAGAGTTTTGTGGGCTGCGTTCTCCACCTTTCCATTACGTTTTGGAGGGACGTAAACCTCATGTTCCAGAATACAAAGCAGTCACTAATGACTCAGACTGGGAGGAACCTCTTCAGGGAGGCGAGATATCCATAACTCTCCAAAGCAAAGGATCCAGCCCTCAGATTTGAGGTACTTGGATCTGCACTGCCAAGGCTGGATTAGACAGACCATGGGCTAGTGTCAGTAATCCACACCAGTTCCTGCTTGTCATCCTTATGGCAACACTGCACCAACAAACCCAGAATAAGACTGTTGTTAAATATGACTCTGAACAGCCTCAAATGAATTAATTAATAAGCACCAGTCTATTCCTGGGTGTAATCCAAGCCTTAGAAACCTGAGCAGAGAAGATTTAGAACATGATAGAGATTGAGCAGAAGGTTTTTATTTCCATCGGGTCTCTTAACCTCCAACTTCAAACTTCCCAGCAGTTGGGTTCTGCATGGATCTCCTCAGTGCCTGCAGGAGCAGGGAGCACAGTTCCTAATCCTCCACACTCTCACTGGCAGATGAGATCTTGATTTATACTCAGCAGTTGTGAGGGTTGATGGTTGCTCCTGGAGTCAGGGGCATGGCAGGATCTGCACAGACCTGTGGAAACCCAGGGTTGTAGCTATGGTTTTGTCAAGCAAACAAAGGCTGTAACGTGGCTGTAATCCTCCTCCAGAAAACATGTTTCTGCAATAGTGCCTGAGGCTCTGCTCTAAGGCTGCTCCTGTCTTCCTACTCCTTGTGGTTCCCCACATCTAATCCCTTCTTAATATGTGGTGCTACATATTTTGCAACATTTCCATTGTTGGAGGATTACTGTAACACCAAATGCAGCGCCTTTCCTTGCCAGATAACTGGGATGGAAACCGAGGCTGTCCGGGAATGCTGCTTGAACTTACTCAGCACTCTTGTTCCCTCCCACAAAACCCATTTTTCCAATGTTTGTAGAAAACATTATGGAGGTGTGATGTGCCCTGATTTCTCCCAGCCTAGATCCAGCATATTTCTCACTGATGAGATGGACAGATCTCAAGTATTTTTTTCATAAATTTGTTAGTAAATCTATTTTCTGATGATCTTTATATAAAGGTTCACATGCTGTGCCACTGAACACAGAGGAATGATGAATGAACTTTATCCTTGGGAAGGAATAAAAATAGTTAAAGAAGCACTAAACCAGTGAATATTGTGAAATTTTAAAATAAATTCAAATGAAAAATAGGCATTAATGAAGAAACAGATCCTGGGATGAATAAAGTGGAAGAGAAGCCCTCAGGAAGGTGAGGCTCCAGCACAAGTGTTGGACGTGGATGCCACCTGCTGGGTACCCACCCATGGAAGCTGGAGGGGAGCAAAGTCCCCTGGGAGCAATGGGAACCGGCTGAGATCCCTGTGATCACCTTGGCAGGAGTTCAAAGGCAGAAAATCCTGTAGAAAGCTGAAGCCACGCTCATGACTGGGGAGGATGTTAAACCTGGTGCCTGCTTCATGCTGATGGCAAGTACAGGACATTCCCAAGCAGAATTCCCAGAGCTGCTTCTCTTTCAAGCCTGTATTCTGCTGTGGCTGTTCTACAGCCTGGACTTCAGATATTTTTGTCTACCTAGGAACTTTCATCACTAGTGGGATTTCTTGGAAGTGCTCTCTGCTGGAAAACCAAGTGGTGATTTGATCTTGTGAAGTGCTGCCAAACAATATTAGCAGTTTTAACTTCCCTGCTGTGGGGTCATCCCTCGCTCCCTCTGCGAGGAATCTGCAAGGACTGAGCTGCTCCCTCTTTCCAGTTCATGGGGGACCATTTGCTGCCGATCTTCAGGAGAAAATCACATTCCTGCTCCATGGTTGGAAGAGCTGTAGAGTGTGGTGAGACAAAAGCCCCAGCTCCTGAGTAACCACCTTTTTGAGTGCCACAGCACTGGCACAAGGCAGAGATGATGAGGAGGAGGGATAGGAAGAGGAAAGGGAGGAGGAAGAGAAGGAGGAGGCAGATCAGTCCCTGTCCTGCCTATTTGCTCACTCAGGGATGTGGAAGTCAGATCTCTCCTGGGCTGGCCCAAGGAAATGTGAAGAGTTTGATGTTACTGGCTGCTGAGCAAATGAGCTGGTGACTCATCAGCCTTTGCCACATGCTGCTTTTACAATTGGCTTGCTGGAGTTCCAGACAACTGGGCTTCTATCAGCTAAAAAGGGAAATGAGCTCAGTTACTCTGGGTAAATCTAGAGCAATCCATTTGTAGACTAAGGACATAATGCTATATAATGCTGATCACTTCCAAGAGAGCCAAATTCTCTCTTGACAATCCTTCTCCCTTTTGGTTTAAGAACATCCTGATGACTGAGGTCTTTTGGCTTTTCAAATTTCTTTTTGATGGATAACCCCTGTTTCCTGCTTGTTCCTCTCCTAATGATTGTGCAGAATAGATGAGCCCCAAGAAAGAGAAGCCAATTTACTCTCCCTTTCCTTGGTGCCTTTCTGATGCTGTACCATGCTTGGCTCACATGCAAGTTTGCATCATCTGATCTCTTGCGAAAAGGATGCTGGAATTACATGAGATGAAGGAGTCACACCACTGATGGTGCCCCTGAAAATCAGTTTTATGTGCTAGACTTGGGGCTTGTGTCTCCAACAGGAAATGCCAGAGCTGGGAAGCAGATGTGTACATGAGATACTACTGGAAAGTTAAACAGGAATTGGCAGGCAACTGCTGTTGGAGATGGACACTGCCATTGTTTTATGGACTGCAAAGTGATGCTTGCAGAGTAAGGTGTCCTGCCTTTAGTCCTTATCATCTCACCTGCCTCACAAAGGGAATTTGATGCAGCCCCGAAGTACTGTTTATATATCTTCTGAGGCTCATGGCTGTGCAGTCACAGCCACATGCAATGCAAACATCACACTGTTAGAATGTCTTTAATCCCCAGAGGTCCCATCTGGGCAGGCAGCTCGCTCAGGGCTGGGGAAGACAGAGGCACCAGGA